GGAAGCCCCACGCCTCCGTGAGGAGCCCCTGCGGAAAGCCTGCCATGTACAGACCCTCCCTCCCATCTGGCATGGCCTCCCCTCCATTGTCCCTGTGCTTCTCTCCACATCGTTGTTTCTCTTGGGGTGTTAATTATCAGTGACATTTGCTTGAAAAGAAGCTCCATGTTCTCTCAGAGCTGCTCTGTTCCTGCTGCTTGTTTTGGCTACAAGATTACAGCACTCAGCCCTTGAGATCTCTGCCATGTTGCTATCGATGGGGAATAAATAGTCCTGACTGACTATGCTGTGCAGAGACCTTTCTGCCAGGCAAGGTTTGTTAAGCTCTCAGTCCCAGTGCCCAAAAGTACCAAAACCACGTGAGATTTTTTCAAAGAAGCCTGAAATTCTCCTTTACCGGGGACTTCACATCTGAGGGCAGGCCCCTAAAAAGGTTTGCTGACGGTTGCAGGCTTTGTGCTGTGCCTGGATGAACCAGTCGGTGCAGTGGCGGTTGGCTGGGCATGGAAGGAAGCTGTAAGCCATCCTTGTCTGGGCAGATCTAATTATCATCTTCACACTGCTGCATTGGGGGGGGGGGGGGGGAGCAGGTGACAAGCATGGCTTCTATAATGGCAGGCATTTGGACAATCTCCAGATCCAAGGCAAGGTACTTCACGTTGTTTTGGGAAGATCCAAGGCACCCCACAGAGTTGGAAGCTCAAGGCTCTGCAGCTGCTGGTCATTTGCTACCATTTCCTCCTGGCAAAGACAGATAAGCAATGAAGGAAGGAGACTTTTCTTCTGTGTTATTGATTACTTTCAGCTGGACCACCTCCCCATATGACTGCCTGTTAAAATAAGGCCCCATATCACTTATTCACAGTGTATGAAATAAGGAAGGATGTCTTGTTTTAACAAAAGATGCATCTTGTTACAAAATGAGTGCTTTTCTGGTGATAAAGCACAAGCAAGGGAAGCAACAGCAAATATGAAAGACCTGTGGAAATGTTTTTTTAAGAGAAGAGCAGATTCTGTTAAACATCACAGGCAGGGTGAGGCCAAGAACTACAGGTGACAAGAGGTTTGGGGATTTTGTAGGGCTAACTTAAAAAGACCTCTGCTTTCTGCCAGGTGTTTGGTAAAATTGCGCTGAACGATACCACAGAAATCAACCGCAACAACAACTTCCAGACCTTCCCTCAGGCAGTGCTGCTGCTTTTCAGGTGGGTGTTTGACAGCTCTGGATTGTGTCAGTCTGGGAGCACGATTCCTCTGCTCTTGGGCACAGCTTATCTCCTTCTACTGTGTCATGCTCTCGAGGTGAGTAAAAACATGTCGTCCCTTAGTGGGGGAGCCTAGGAGTTACATCAGATGAAACGACCGGTCCGTTAAGCCTCGTACCCTGCCAGCTGACACTGGCCAACACTCAGTGCTGGGGAGGGAGGCAAGTCCTCCTACTCAGAAGGAAGGTAGCCAGTTTTCAGTGCTCTCAAATGTTGATATTCATCAAAAACTCCTCCTTTTGTTCAAATCCAGCCAGTATGACTTCCAGCTTATTTTAGCAGAGAAAGGGACATGAACTCCCACTCATGCTTTGGCATGGCCATGCCCAGCTCAGCTTAGCACATCATCCTGCTCCAGCTGTGTCCAGGTGTGCTGAGGCCAGGGAGGGGTGCTGAAGTGATAGGGAACTGGCATGAATTCGACACTCTCTCCTCATTTTCAAGGAGTTTTTTCATGCAATCCATAGCCATGTCACACACATCTCAATGACTCTGGTTGGTTGGAGCACGACAGCCCCGTACCAAGACTAGCCAAAGCCAGTCAGGAACAACACGCTGATGATAGCAACAAAGCCAAGAAGAGGAGCAGGGTAGGTCAGTGTATGTCAAAGCTCGGCCATGAGCCTAACTTGCTCTTAATTGACCTCAGTGGCAAAATTCCCATTAATGTTCATGGGAGCAGGAACAGGTTGCTAATGTGGCAGTCACTGTCACGCTGAAGGTCACTGCTGTCTTCCCTTGCCCTTTGCCATGCCTAGGTGTGCCACCGGTGAGGCCTGGCAGGAAATCATGCTGGCGTGTCTCCCAGACAAGAAGTGCGACCCAGAGTCAGAGCCAGCCAACTCCACCGAAGCCGATCACTCCTGTGGCAGCAGCTTCGCCGTCTTCTATTTCATCAGCTTCTACATGCTCTGTGCCTTCCTGGTGAGTCTGTCCCAGCAACCGAAACCTGCCCTCTGTCAGACTGAGCCCCTGCCTCCCCAGACATCAGCACTGCATAGCAGAAAAATGATCTCAAAGAGGGGAAATCTCCCCATGGGCTCTTTCCCAGCAGCAACCTTTCAGAGACAACACCCCCTTGGTCACTGCCATTCCTGTCTCCCTCCAGCCCTGGGGGATGATCTGTTTCCAATCCCAGTCCTTTGTGTACAGCAAAGGAGTGCTTCCCCACACCCCCCACCCCACCTCAATGAGAAAACCAAATTAGCGTGTTGTGGGCTGTGCTGAGGCTAGCAACGCCTCAGCCACACTTCCCACCTTCCCTCCTACCTTCCTTCTGGCTGCTGAGCAGGTTTTTCCTCCCCTGCCAGCAGCAATGACTGTGAGAATACACATATCCCACTTGCATCTGCTCTGTGTTGGCAATGCGGCATTGCTCAGAGCGACAGCACATGCTCTGCAGCTGGCATCAGTGCGCCAAACTCTCCCAGTGAACAGCAGAAAGATTTTTAAAGTTTTGGTCTTGAGCCAGAAGAAACAACTTTTATCTCAGCCCCACTGCCTAGAGAGGATAAATCCCAGGTTCTCCCACCACTACCCCATTCTGCCTGGTAAAGACACAGGTAAATAAAAAGCCATCACAGCATGTCTAAGCATTCAGCAAACTTAGGCCTCATCCATTTAGTAGGGAAGAGAAAAATGTGACCAATTGAGAATAGCCTGCCTCTGGGATCTTCCCATTTAAACTGGGGGCTGGCATAGCAGAACAGAGAACCCACCCCCAATGGCTTCCTAGTTTTACGAGTCCAAATCCAGACCTTAAATGGTAACCTGGTAAAGTTTACTGTTACCTGCCTCATCCATCAAGTCATCTCTGTCCTTGTTTGCAGATCATCAATCTTTTTGTAGCTGTTATAATGGATAACTTTGACTACCTGACACGGGACTGGTCCATTTTAGGACCACACCACCTGGATGAGTTTAAAAGGATCTGGGCAGAGTATGACCCTGAAGCCAAGTAAGTAACCCAGCCTGGATATCCGAGCTCCTCAGGAGAACAGGCCGGTTACTTTCTGTTCTCTAGACCCAGTGCAGTAAGTGCCATGTTCCTCCTGCAGGAACACTTTTTTTCCGCAAAAATCCTAAAATAGATACTTCCACCAGGTATTGCTGGTGAATCCATAAGCCAGCAGTGCAAGGATACATACAAAAATCTCAGCATTGAGGCTGCACTGTTACCTGGCAGGACATTGCTTCACTTTCAGTTAGGGGGAGATACAGGCTGTTTAGGGAGGGGCAGCAAGAGATTGAGCAAAGGAGGTTAGAGGGCTGGTTTATTGTTGCAAGTGTTTGAGATACTGAGCTGTGACTCCTCTATTTGACTTTCTACTCACAGTAGAGCTGCTGTACTCAAAGCTCCATTTTGTCATACAGGCCCATCGCAACCTGTACCTTCACATGGCTGTGTTACATTGTCTGCAGGGTTATTCACATCAGCAGACTTGCAGGGATTTAAAGTTACAGAAGAACAACTCACACAAGGGCTTAACTGACGTTCAGTATTATATGCTCTGTTTGACACACACTTAGGCTTAAAGTGCATTTAGATCCCTGTGGCATTACAGTACAGTTGACAATTGTAATTGGAAAGCCCCCTTCATAATGCAAAAACTGTGGAAAGAGATCTTGGCGTAAACTAAAAGCAGGTCTCTTTAGGAGACATAATAGCAAGATTAATTTGGGCTCAGGTTCTGCAGTATGTGAGGCCATGTCACATCATCAGAGTGCTATGTAAATTGAAACCCTTCTTCCCATCCATGCTGACTTCCCAGAGAGACTTTTAACATGGTAGGGCATAAGCACAGAATTCTAATAAATATACTGTTTGTTAACAAAATAGATGCTACTATTTGTGCTTGTTTGAAGGCAAGACTGCAGGGGCTGAAGCCATATAATAGATAGCTGCTCAGTCCAGATGACATCCTCCTTCTTCCCATCTATAAATGGGAAGCTCTTTTCTTCCCTCTTCTCTATCCATGTCCCATGCCTGAAGCCCCACCTCCAGCTCTGGTAGCACTCCTCCCTCCATGAGAGAATTCTTTTGAGATGCCATGCAGAGAACTTAAAAGAAACCCAGCTGCTGCTGTGGAGGAAGTTTAGCGCTTTGTTTTGCACTGGCTCCAGTGACAGCCCAAAGCATAAACGAGTATCAAAAGACAGTGGCTTGGGGCTATTTATACGGGAGGTAAAGCCCCAGGAAAAAAGAGACCCTTTGCACCTCTGTGCCTGCTATAGCTCTAAGACCAACAAGTAAATAAGCAGCTGTAGATTTCGAGCAGGTCGG